AATAAATGAATATAGTTAAAATTGCCTAAGTCATTTCATGTTGTTTACAGAAACAAAGATAGGAGAATAAATTCCTTCAAGAAATGCTCCTTGGAGTAATTTTTTAAAATGCAGAGTAGTCAAATAACTCATCATTAGGTTTTCAGCTAGAAGCATAGCATCTATAGGAAATACTAAGATTATTATAATTAAAGAATAGATGACATTTCAAATGTGCACATATGAAATAGAAAAGGACAGAGATCACAATGTGGTTTTAAAATACTCCTTGTGTCAGACTGTTCATTTCTATTAGTATCTATTGACCTCTTTTTCTTTTCAATAACTTGACCCATCCTCTCCCAACTCAGGTTTGGGTGGACTGGTGACTGCACAGCTAATGCTAAAAATTTCTGATCCTTTTTGAGCTTGCTATGACTGCCTAATTAATCTTTACCACCAGGCTATAAACAAACAAACAAAACAAAAATAATATGAAAGTTCTGAATTTGACTTTTAAAATGGGTATTGTTTCCCTTCTCTCTCTCTCTCTCTCTCTCTCTCTCTCTCTCTCTCTCTCTCTCTCTCTCTTCAGTGACTGTGTATGATTATGGCTCTAAGTTTATTCTGGCTGTGTGAATGAGGGAAACATCCTAGATGATGTGATGCAAACAAAAACAAAAGTAAAAACAAAGGAGAAAATCATAGTTCCCTCTGAATTTTGATTTAGAAAGAAAAAAAAATAAACACAAAACAAAAATAGTAAATAAAACCAAAAAACACATTTCTGTCTTTTTTTAGGTACTACATTTTAGTACCTTTTTATCAAAACAGTAAATTAATTTCCTCACAATTAAAGCACCCTTTTATTACTTACGTGAATTCACATGACTTTTCCTCTGTGCAGAAATCACATTTATAATTAACTATTAAAACATATACTGATTTTTTTTTCTGTACCAGAGACTGAACCCAGGGTCACTTAATCACTGAGTCACATCACCAGCCCTTTTTATTTTATTTATTTATTTATTTATTTATTTATTTTTCAGATAGGTTCTCACTAAGTTGCTTAGGGCCTTACTAAGTTGCTGAGGTTGGCCTCAAATTTGAGATCCTCCTGTATTAGCCTCCTGAGCTGCTGAGATTAGAGATGTGTACCACTGCTCCTGGAAATACTTAATGTTTAAAGAAATAAATGGACTCATAAATTAGAGGAATGTTCTGGTTATCTCTTCTATGGATTTATGTGGTTCTCCAGAGGATTACATCATTGCAGCTCACAAGGCTTAGATGTATTCCTTAAATTAAAATCATGTATGGAGAAGGACATTTTTCCTAAAAGCAATGTGAAAGGAGCTGATAGTCATGGGACATAGTATACATGACTGTACCTGACTGAATAACACTTTTAAAGCAATACTGGAACTACAATATTTTTTTATTGTAATGTATTTTTTTTATTCAGGCTAGTTTTAGGTTCACAGCAACACTGAGTGGAAGGTCAGCACAATTATTTTTGTTATGAGTCACCACTATTCCTTAAAGATAGCAGCAGTTTTATCAAGGCAATGATAATAACAAAGTAATACTGCAGCTAAGTAGGACAAAATGATTTCTCAAATAAATTACTGATTAATTTAATCCATAACAAATGGTACCTCCTAAAAGGGTATTCTACCTCCCTAATCGTCCTTCTCTTTGATTGAGGCCAACTCTCTGCTTCTTGTTTCATTCTTCATTAATCTACTCAACTGGTTTCCCATAGTGCCACTCAGAACATAGATCACAAATTCTTATTTTATGTGGACCTTGCCTAACTTTCCAACCTCATGTTTTTCTGCATTCTCCTTATGCATTTTTATTTGAATGCCAGGTCTTGCGACTAAATCAGTCAGTGTCACTCTAGGTGAATTGGGATGGCACAAAATAATCACACAGACAGAGGAAATACCTTTTTGGGGGGATTCAGCAATGGCTCCTCTGCCCCAGTTCCCACAAGAGAGACAAGGGAGGTTGGCAAAAGAGAGAGAAGCACAAGCGCAGACCTGAAGCCCTTGAGAAAGTTTTACTCAAGTTTGTCAAGGGATTGGGTTTCAGGGAGGTATAGCCCAGTCCCATTGGTTGACACCCACTCCCAAAGCTTCACTCCCCTTTCTAGCGGAGGTGAGGTCCACCTGCTTTTGTGAGCAGCAGAAGCCAGATCCACACTTCCATTGCTCAAGGCTAAGGGTGCTCAGCTCCTATGTGGCAACTCCCAACATTTGAACACCCTGACATTATATTATAAACAAAATAAAAGGGTGGTGGAAAGCTCTTTTGTACTAGGGTGTTCGAATTTTCTGCTCACTTTCTATACAATATTCTTTTGCAAGTCTCCACATTTGACTTTTTAAAATATTTGCTAAAATATCACTTTTACAAAGAGACATAAATCAAACACATCTACATTATTCTCTCTCATCTGTTCTTTTTTCCCTAATCACACTTACCAAATTATATAATTATAATTCCATGAATGTTTCATTGTCCCCAGTGACCTTCAAGGATCACAAAAACAGGAGATACACACCTTCGTTATTCACTATTAAATATCTAGAGCCAGATATGTTTTAGGTGAAAGAGATTTTTTTTTAGATTCAATATTTGTAGGGCCAAACACTATATACTACTAATGATATAATTGAGGGATGCTCAAGACAATCTGTAAGACCAAACTACAATAAAACTTATTGTATGATAGCAATCCATATGTCATTTTGGGCATATGAGACTATTTGGCAGTAAATAGAAATGGAAATCAGAAGTCTATATTATAATATATTTTTGAGACTGATGTAAGAATTTATCTCAAGTAAAGGAGTTTATAATAGAGAGTAAAAAAGAGAAAGGTGAGAATAAAGAGAAACAGAAAGGGGAAGAGAAAATGTGTGAGAGAGGCCAATAGTGTCTGCATCTCCTTCCCACTACATGCACACTATTATATTAATGAGCCAGATAATGCCACTTTTTTCATCCAATTGATAATCACATGTGAGCCAACAGAGTTTTGAGATGTGCTTGTGTGGTGGAACCTTCTGTGTTGGTCTTCTGCTGTTACTGTTAAAGGCATGTGCTAAGGTTTGCTGGTTCTTTTAGAAGACATTTCCTTTACTCTTCTGATTACAGTCAATTCTTTACTATATATTAAGGGCTAACTCACCCACAGAGACCTTGCTTGTCAACTTTTATCCTAGAACATTCTAGACTATCTCTTGACTACTTCGTTTTGAACTGAATACAGTTCTTTTTTTGCACCATCATAACATTTAGAATGGTTCCTAGGACCTGACAGCTTTTATTTTTTTCTTGATTACAATTCAGATGAAAACTGTCTTCCTTTCATGTGTCATCATTGCTGGCATACACAACTGTTTTTATTATGTGTATATTTCATGAAATCATGTGCACATTTTCTTCAGCTAACATTTCTATGGTACTTTAAAAAAAGCAAGGAACTGTCCACTGTATTTTTAAAATATTATTTCATTTAATTTCTAGGCCATTACTCTGATAGGCTTATTTGATTCTTATTAGATGGTCAAGGTAACTGAGGTACAGGAGGATCATATAAATCTTTCTTATATTACAATCAGTAAGTTCAAAACCAGATCAATTGATTGTATTTTCTAGATCAAAGCCATGATCTTAATGATGATCCACCTTTGCCATTCAACCTGTTATTAATAGTCAAGTCTCACCTCTGAGTTCAATTGAAAAGAATTGGATTTGGCCAGGTAAAGGTGATATTTCAATTTTATTGAAAAAAGGAAGTTTTTATTCTTATTATGGTCAATGACACATTTTGACAAATAACAAAGATTAAAATAGATTTAGTCTATATGGACAGACTGCTGACAATCTTAATTTGCTTTCGAGTGAACAGTGAGTGAATCTATGCCTTATCTAGAGGACAAGATCTTCTCTTTTTCATTATTTTTCTTAAAACACATACATAATTTTATACAAAACAGTCAAACACAAGCATATCTAATCAAACCACATATAGAGATCTCAAATATAGGATACAGGATGAATTTGCTACCTAGATTCTAAATTGTTTAAGGTATTGACCAGATTTGTGTTCTGATTTTCAAAAATATGGAACAGGCATGCATGCTATAGTGTATTTGATTTGGTAATAGAAACAAGTGAATTTAATTTCTCTTGGAGACCTGGTTTAATGGTATTGATGAAGACATATGAATATCTTTCTAAAAATCCTCTGATTGATTCTTTGATGAAAGAAAATATTATTTCATAATATTGAATGGAATAATATTATTCAATATTATGAAATAATATTTTTGCAAGCCCTCTATGTTCCCTAATTCTCTTTTCTCATATTTCTGTCACTATGGGGATATTTACATGAAAATAGTTTTTGGTTGCTAAGAGTTCATCTGTTCCTGCTGCTTATTTCTCACCTGAAGTCACAATTCTCTGAATGTACATCATAATCATTTCAACATAAGCCAATTTCAGTGTCACAAACAAAGGATTATGCTTCCACTGAGAAGCAAGCAGCAGGAGCTAACAAAATTTAAAAATCAAATATCCCAATTTATGGAAATGTCCCAATTAATAAAAATGCAATTAAAGAGAAATATTTTAGGTTGTATATTGGAAGCATTATACTCCGATAGAAGTTTCTCAGTTTTTCATGACGTTTCAATGTGCTTTGTAGTCAGGCTAGATAAACGTGGTTTATTCACTCTTAATTATGCCAGATGTCTTTTCATCCTTCTGTTTTTGTTTAGCAGTTTGTCCCAGTTCTATCATTTTTAATTATCTAAAGTCTTTGTGGTAAGATTCATGCAGAAGCCATAACTCCTTGGAATCCATTGATAGCTACTGAGTAAAGTAAGAACAGAACAGATGGGAATGGGCTGCTCTGTAGACTCACGTGGAGACGCAAATGGACCTTAAATATCGCAGTTTATTAAAAATCATGTTCCATATTTAATTGTAATTCCACTTACCTTTTTATTGGCTTTGCCGTAATGACATAAATTGCAGCACATCAGAGATTATCTCATAACCTTGGATATATTTCAGTCCAATTTCTCTTTGGATAGTTTCTGTTCTAAGTAGAAACAAACAAAACAGTTGATTTGCTGCTTTCTTCTTCATTATATTCATAAGGTGAAAGCCTAGAAAAGTATATGAGTTTATACGATGATTTTTTGTTATTAATTAGGTTAAGTAACATTAATTCCCTTCTTAATATTACTCTGGTACTGTAGGAAGTGATGGAGACACCATAATGAGGTGATGTCTTTTTAATAAAAGATAAATGAGCAAATGGCTCAATAAAGTTTAGTAGTCTTCTGAGAAATTTATGCATTTGATGAAAAGATATGAATAGAATAAAGCAACCAAATATGTCCGGATGTGAACAGAAAGACTTCCTGATGGATATACTGCAAGATCCTCTTGAAATATGAGTGGCTTCAACTAATAGGAATTTTGGGGGAAAATATGTTGGAAAGGAAATTGTAGATAAATGGAGCAAATGTGAATTAAATAAGGTACTCAAGTGAAGTGGTATGAATACTAAGAAAAAATTATTAAATATAGATTAGTGTGATAGTTCTTTCTCTAACTGCCTTGTACCTGAGAATCACCAAGAGGATGTCCTAAAAACATGGATGCCAAGACCTCAGACCTCATGATTCTGATTAGGCAGGTCACGCTATCCAAATGCCATCCAAATGAATGTTGTATTCCTCTCAAGTTCTGAGAAAGTGCCAATGCTGTCAGTCAAGGAACTTCCCTTTGAGATACAAAGGTAGGGTTGTTAGAGCTTATATAATACATCAAAAGTAATTATGGAGCAGAAGCATAAACAGAGTAAATTCTATGAAGAGGTTTGGGCCTACTTGAACACTCAATAAGAAAAAGAGAGGTTGAAAAAGCCAACTGAAGTCTTTTTAGTAAAGAAACAGTGTGATATTCCTTTATTTACTTCTTTGTCTTTAAAAGTTGACTCTGTGAACTGCATAAATGAATGATTCAGAGCCAGATGCTGGGAGATCACTAAGAAGACAATGACAGAAATGCATTCCAGAGTCAGAGAGCTCAGGCAAGCAAACTCAAAATTCCGGAGGAAAGAGTTTGAGGCCAGGATGGAAAAGATGTTTCAAGGGTAGGAACAAGGATAATAGAAGGCAACTTGCATAGAGGAAGTAGTGAGGAAAACAAAGAAAGAAACAATATTTGGAGGGTTGGGGTCTTCACAAGTGCAAAATACAAGCTGGTGAGTTAATACCCCTAGAATTCTGTGTTTTGGAAATGATTGAATTATTCATGAGAATGTCTACTTGTTGATAATTGCTAAAGATTTTCTTCTTCATGAATGTGAATAAATGGCCCTAATGTCTCTTAGAATAGCTATATAGTATGTGGTCTAGTTTTGCTATGAAATACCAAGAAAAATTCCTGAGCTATTTTTAAAAACACATTTTGAAATATTTTAAACATTGTGCCACTCGTGTAAAACTTGCATAGATAATACTATACCATTTTATCTATATAACCTCTGTTATATATAAACACTAATACATGAATGAGGGTAAGAATGGCTTGTGCATTATAATAGAGAATTGAATTTGGCTGTGATCAAGTGGGGATTTACATTTCATTTAATATTTGATTTTTAGAACAAGAATACGTTTTACAAAATTATGCAATTAACTTTTAATACAGATTTATAATCCATTTTGCTGCTGAAACAGAATAATTTTAATGCCTGGATCAAAAACAAATGTAAAATATGTAGATATAAACTTTACAGTAATTGTACAAGACACCCATAAATAAGAAGAGAAAGAATACAATAACAATGATCTAAAAAGAAAAAAAAAAGAGCCAATATGGGAGAACTTGAAGGTATATAGATAATAATTATCTAAAAACTGATTGACCAAAGTATAGCCACCCATTAGGATATCAATTGATTTCTTATTCTAAGATATTTGTGAAATATTGAATGTTAAGTGTATCACATTATCAAAATTCTTTAACTGATAATAATGATAGCAGTTTAGACAGTTTATAAGTAGACATCCTTAGGAAGTATATTTTAGTGCCTGAGTATCATATAAAAACAAATTGGTTGCTATACAATTTCTATTCCTGGGCTCATGAATAAGTCTCCTCTCGTTCCACCTATCAAATCAAATAAAAATTTGATATCTAGTCTCCAAAATGGAAAAAATTCTAGTATGAATCAGGGATTTTGAGTAGATAGATAACTAAATGTTATGTATTCTCCTGTTGAGTAAAAAAACCTCTGAACATTACCAGAAGATAAGTGAATGGAGATAAGTAAATCTAACCACAGAGAGTAAGGAAGACACTGTAGTTACTTGTCTAAACAAAATCTCTAGGAAGTTGGAAATCATACGGATTTTATTGTTGGAACCTACATATAGTCATGCAAAAAAACCAAGGTAGGCATGGGGCATTCCTGAGCATGTTCAGTTTAAGGTGTACACTTCTGAACATGCTCAGTTTAAGGTCATCATTAAAATATGAAAGATGGTAGGGCACACTTCTGAACTTGCTCAGCTCAAGGTATGAATGCTCATGTTCAAAAAGGACAGATGGTGAATTCAGACTGTCCTGTTAATGCTCAGATCAATACTAAGAGGCAAATTTACTGTGAATCACCTACAAGGATGAGTCAGAATGGCTTGGTGACCTTGACTAGTTCTTCCTGAGTTTCTCCAAAGAATTTTAGCTGGAACAGAACTAAAGGGCAAATTTGAATGTGCATTAGTGTAAGAATGTGCCAGCATAGGTGCCTGCCTCTCTTAACAGCTAATAGAAAGGTTAGAAAATTCTATGCAAAGATCCTTAGTATCTGGAACACAGTACATTATCCTTTAATAATGTAGAGTGGACAAGGTTGCATATCAAAACTTCATTTTCTTTTGGATGTTTATTTGATGTTATATTTCAGAAAGTATCTAGCAATTTGTAGACAATATAAACAACATTGCAGTTAAAATTTTTCATAAGGTATTTTATGTACATATTTAAGTGATTCTTTAAGACAAGTAATAAAAGCTTGAATATTAGGTTAAAAGATCTTTCATCCCAAATTATTGCAAATCATTACCCCAAATCTGTATGAAGTTGTACAGTCATAAGAAGTATAGGATTGTATTCAATTTACTAACATTTTTACACCTTAAATAACATTTTCACATTTGAAAAACATTGGAGAAAATAGTTTCTTATTGGCTTTTCATTTGCATTCCTTTAGTTATGCACGAAATTAACCATCTGTTCATATACTTACTAAACAATATTTTTAAAGTTATTTCTTCATATAATGTGCTTACTTTTCTACTGGGTGTCTTTGTTTGTTTTACTTTATGATGTTCTTATTTAATTGGGTTGCACTCTTTTCAAAATTAGGAGCACTTGCAATTTACTATATTGTGCTCAAACAGTATTTTTTCTAGTTTTACTTGCTTTTTGACTTGTTTTCAGTATTATTTACATATCAAAAATTTTGTATTGATAAAAATTTTCTAGACATTGTTTATATTTAAATCATCTTGCAATATAGTATATTAGGCCAGATGGTAGATTTAGATAACTCTAGAGATCAATAAATAAGGATTCCAAAATATATCAATATATTTTTTCTGTGGCCATATTATAAATTATATACTTAAACTACTTTTGACTTTGCCAGTGTTGTAGGGAACAAAAGTGCTATGCTTATCTGTAATTTCCAACTTGTTCTTAAAATACAAGTTAAGCATAAGCCAATGAGTTCATCTGGAAGTCAGTTTTTTAGTACAATATGCTCTTTGAATTATATTTAGTATGTACTTGGAAATGCTAAATAGAGCTCTAAGGAATATATTCATTTTCTATGGTCTCCATACTTTAGTAGCATTAAAGTAAACATTTTTAAAATTTAAGTATTTTAAGTGAAGTAATAAGATAAATTATATAATAAAAATAAGAATGAACTGAGGAAATCATATATCATCACAAAAGGACAAACAAATTCTATTATTTTTTTCTAAAGCTCAAACGTATTAAACACTGTTGGCAAGTACTTTAGAAAAAACAGATAACTTTCATAGTTATTAAGAATCCATAAAATAATGCCTTATCAGATTTACTTCTCCTAATGTTACTGGAGTCCTAGGCCAGAAGTCTGACACTGGAGTTCAAACAAGTCAGGTCTAGCCACTGGCCCCAAAAAACAAAAACAAAAGTAATGATGAATGCAGGAAAGCAACTTTAATCAGTGCAGTGATCCTGGAAAGACAGGGTCTCACGTTCTTAGTTCTGTCTTGATGGGGATGATAATGAGGTTTAATAATAAGGGGAATGACAGCAAAGGTTGGGGGCTTGCATAACCTTTTCTCAGTGGCCAATACAGGTGATCTTGATCAGGTGTGATGTGTCCATTATATCTCAGAATTGCTTCCTTGGGGCCCTTGTCATCAGAAGTTGTTGCCAGCTGGTAATTCAACCCATCACAAGATATTAATCCATCAGATCTATTACTCCTGGAACTCAAAGAGATTCAGAGCAAAGGAAAGGAATGCAAAATGGAGACAGTGTTTCCACACCTTCCATCCTGCTTTTAGCCACACATGGTCGGTCACTAAAAAGGAAAGTAAAGAGTCTAAGTCCTCATTACAGTTACTATAGACACTAATGCCTGAAAGTCATCCATATTATTTCTCTTCATTTAACAGACTTTTTTCTCTTTTTTCTTCTTTGGTTCCAGGGATTGAATCCAAGGGGGATTAACCACTAAGCAACCCCAGCCCACTTTTAAAATAAAAAAAATAAATAAATTTTGGAGACAGGGTCTTGCTTTAAAATTGCTTAGGACCTAGCTAAATTGCCCTGGCTTGCTTTGAACTTGCAATTCACCTGCCTCAGCCTCCCAGCCTCTGGCACTACAGATATGTGCCACCTGGCCTACCAGTTTTTTAACAGATATTTGTCAAGCAGATACTATACAAAAACATAGAAGAATTAAGACATACACTGAAAAAAAATTAAAACTTCCTGTCTTTTTCAAAATCATAGAAGATTAAGAAAATTAATGTCTTGATTAACAATTCATATAATTGGTTAGA